GGGAGCAGAGAGCCGAGTTTTGTTTAGACACGCCAACCATGAGGTGCCTGAGTCACCCGCCCGGAGATGCCCATTATGTGGCTGAGTTTGGGGGCATCGAGGTGGGGAGATAGCTCAGGATGCAGCCCCAAGCAAGATGGTTTCCTGGGGGCCAATAAGTAACATAAATGTTAATTGTCCGGAAGAACAGCACATCTTCCGCTAAGCAGTGTTTGTTGAAGCACATTATGCGTAAACACGTGTGGCCCATGAACTTGGCCCAGGACAGCAATGCAGGAAACACAGAAGCTCTTACCTGCAGGTTGCAGGGGCCATCGACCACCCCGCCACCACATGGCCATGCCACCAGGCTGCCCCGTGGTGTATGTATGGGTCTGTAATCATGAAAACAAGCCACTTTTTCAAAGAGCAGATAAAAAGGAAACCCACATAGGAAACGTGAGACACGTAGCGTCACATTAATCCCCTCCCATTCCCCAGGCTGCTACCTGAGTAAGCTGTAATAACCTTGCCTTTGAACCCACGTCTGTGGGCTAGCAGTCTGTTCTAAAAGCCTTAGTTCCCCATATACACACCCTCCTCACCCTCCCTGCAAAGAGATGAAAGGAAGAGCAATGTAAACGGTAATAAATCCCTCTACCTCCCTCAGCACACGTGACCCGGTGGGTGTTCAGCGAACCGCCAGTGTCTGGGCGTGTGGGTGTGTGATGGCAGCAGCTGGGGAGGCGAGCTCGGGCGGGAATCACCGCGGCCAGCCCCACTCATGTTTCGGGGTGGCGGCACATCCCGGCGCGGGCCTGTGGCACTCAGGGACTGGCTGAGGCTCCTCTATTACTCGCTGCGCGGCTCCCCAATCGATGGCTCCAGCTCCCTGCTTGTCCAACAAGGAAAGAGCCTCAGGAAATGGCCCAAGGGAGGAGTCACAGGTGGGATGAGCAGGTGACACTCCACGGACAAAGATGGAGAACTTGTGGACGCATATGTCTTAAGGCCACCCATTTCCCCTCCTTCTGTCTTGGTTTTGGTTAACTTCCAGAGATGCCACAAGGAGGTGGCATCTATCGACACACAATCACGGTCAAGCGTGGGTACCCCAGACCACCAGGTGCCCGAAGGCAGTGGTCATCTGCCACCGCAACGCAGCACATCAATTCAGCAGCGCACTGAAAGAGTAACTCCCCCAACCGAGGGTTGTCTACTCAACTCCAGGAGATCTACTATGTGACACAATATTAATATGTTCAAAGGAGAGAAACTACGCAGTCACCTCTGTCTCTGAAAAAGTAACTGCAAAACTTGGATTTCTGTGCAACTCCCATAAAAATACAAGCTGACAAAAATCCAAATTTAAGAGTAAAAGACAATGGAAGGAGATAAAAAAAAAAACTGGTACCGTAATAAGGTGGATGTAGGAGTCAGCTAAGGCTGCTGTGACAAATGGCCCAGATGGGGTAAGCTGACTTCTCATAGTTCTGGAGGCTGAGAAGTTCAGTATCAAAGTGCTGGCTGCATCAGCTCCTGGCTTGCAGATGGCCGTCTTCTCGCTATGTCCTCACACAGCAGAGAGAGAGCTCTGACGTGTCTTTCTCTTCTTCTAAGGAGAAGTCTGGTATTTCTTACAAAATTCAGCACACACATACCCTGTAAGCCACACTACTCCTAGGTGTTTACCTAACAGAAATGAAAATATATGTCCGCCAAAACGTGGATGAAAATACCCTTAGGACCTTATTCGTAATAGTCAAAAGATGCAAACTACTTAGGCATCCATCAACAGAAGGGTGGCTAAATCAACTGGTACTATCATGCAGTGGAACAAACTTCAGCAGCACAAATGAATCTCAAAAACATTATGCTAAGTGAAAGACTCCAGGCTTAAGTGGCTATGTGCTGTAGGATTTCATTTCTATGAAGTTCCAGAACACATAAAGCAAGTCCATGGTAGAAAAAAGAACAGAACAGAACAGTGGTTGCCCGAGGAGGAGGGGAGTTGCCTCAAAAGCTGCATGATGGAACTTTCTAGAGTGATAGGAATGTTCTGTGCCTGGACATGGGGTTTGCACTGCAGAGATTTTTTTTGCATTCACTGGACCTTATTAAGGGAATACTTAGGATCTGTGTGTTTCACTGTATGTAAGGTTTTTTTTTAAATGTTTTATTTATTTCTAGGAGAGAGAGAGAGAGAGCGTGAGCAGGGGAGGGTCAGAGATAGAGGGATTCAGACTCTGAAACAGGCTCCAGGCTCTGAGCTGGCACAGAGCCCGACGCGGGGCTCGAACCCACGAACTGCGAGATCATGACCTTAGCGAAAGTCGGACGCTTAACCGACTAAGCCACCCAGGCGCCCCTCACTGTATGTAAGTTTTAACTCAAAAAGGAGGAAGAAGATGAGGACCACAGATATTAAACTCTTGTTAGTAAGTTCCGGGCTGCAATACTGAAGTGCAGGTGCACAAATACCTGTAACTGACTGTGAAATACACTAAACCAATGAGATGGATTGATGGATGGGGAGACAGGTGGTACCGCTTGCACAGTGAGGTGTAAATGGCGGAGTCTAGTTGGTGGGTATATGGATCGGATGTTCATTGTCCGATTCTTTCTGCTTTTCCATTTTCCATATGCTTGAAAGTTTTCCTAATGTTAGGGAGGAAAAGAGCACCTTAAAGCATGAAGAAAATGGTCCTTGACACGACAATTCAATTCAGATGTTAATTTTCACCCACTTTATCTTACAATTCGTTGTAATTCTAATCGAAAACACCACCAGAATTCTTCAAGGAAATCAGCGTGTCCTTTAAGACACGACACAAAAACCTTAAAACTGCTGGGGACTACTGATAAATGACAGAAAAATTTAAATTTCTATGTGGTCCAGAAATAAGACATAAATGATTACTAAAAATCACGACCGAACAATGTGAGGGCTGAGGCCAAAGGACAAGACGGGACATAAAGGAACCACGAGTGCCAAGAAGCACCTATCAGCGAGCACACATCACTGGTGGCAGAGAGAATAAAGTGGCCGGTACCATTTTTTCTCGAGAGTAGCGACAACAAAGAGATTTATGGGAACCACGCTGGAAGTGAGGGGGAAACGGGTCCGCACTCGGGTGGCAGGGAAGGAACTGTGCACGACTACTCAGCAAGGTCGCTGACAAAAGGTGATCCTGTCCCTTGCGTGTCTACGTTTCAGAATCTTCCCCAGAGAAACTCCAGCCTCGGGACACGCACAGGGAGGCCGCGGCGGCCTTGGGACAAGGGAGATTCTCATCGCGGTGGGAAGATCCCATGCTCCTCTGGGGACAGATGCAGGGAGAAGGACAATCAGGGAAATTTAAAATATACATGCCCAGGGTAATATCCTTTATGTACAAAAGTGCACGGCAGTCAGCGGATGCCTCTCTCCAGATGCGCAAGTGTGCCAAATGCTCAGAGGCCCTGCTCGGGCACACACACCCAGCCGACGGTGGAGGCGATCCTGGGGGCGGGGCTGGGGGGGCGGGAGAAACTTTCACTGGACCAGAACAGCCTGAATGGTTCACGGGAATGTGTTGATTTTATCCTTAATTAGGAACGAGGAAAAAAAAAATAAATGCAAAAATATTGCTGGACTTTTCTATAAAATGTGACTATAGGGGCACCTGGGTGGCTCAGTTAGTTGGTTTTGTTCAACTTCAGCTCAGGTCATGATCTCATGGCTTATGAGTTCAAGCCCCACGTTGGGCTCTGTGATGACAGCTCAGAGCCTTGAGCTGCTTCAGATTCTGTGTCTCCCTCTCTCTCTGACCTGCCCCTGCTCATGCTGTCTCTTTCTCTCAGAAATAAATAAAACACTAAAAAAATTTAAAAAAAGAATAAAAAAACATCAAAAAATAAAATGTTACTATAGTTGATATTTACACGTTTAGTGAATCACGTAATTACATATAAATTATATTTATCTTATTTTCCAGTATTGTATGTTTGCCTTATAGAATGTTTATGTAAGTACGTAAGTATGAAAAAAATATAAGAAGTCAACTTTTGAAATCACTACACTTCCTCCAAACTCATGGCTGTGCCCTGGACATTTCTTCTTGCCTCCCTGTACGAACGAATGATTGTTAAGGGCAAGTGCTCAGCACTACCGCCCAGCACAGAATGTTCTCAATCATCTGCCTTCTGCAAACGGTGCCTCACGTGCGCTGCCAGGGGCCCTGTGTGTGGCCGAGACCCCAGGGGGACGTGGAGGAGTAACTCTAGCCAACACGTAGCTTCGGTGCTCCCTGTTCAGGGCACCTGGAGGTGAAGCGGCGGCTCTCGGATGCGTCTGCACAGGAAATGAGCCCATCGGCCCCTGCTAAGCCCAAACACAGCCCTGAAGAGAGTGGTTCTCGCACCCAGGATGACAGACCGTGTGGGGTCCAGAGGAGACTCTCCCAAGATGGCCAGGAATGAGGAAAAGATGCTACATCGAGGGACGAAGGGGCTGGGGTCACAGCAGAAGGCACCCACGGCTCCATAGAGACGCACGAGCCCGGCTCTGGGCCTCCGCGTCTTCACCTCTGGAGGCGGTCTGAGACCTGCCGACGCGGGCGGAGGCGCTGAGGCTCAAGGGCCACACGTGTGGAACACGACAGCAGGTGACGCCGTTGTGGGCGGGGCTGGGATTTCCGAGGGAACGGCCTCCCTGTTCCCCATGTGCTCCGGGCACCCGGGTCCTGGGTGGCCCCAGCAACCTGGCTGGATGCCTACACCCGCCTTCCAGCCTCGTACGGTCACAGTCACTGAAAGGAACGAGCAACCGCTGCTCTTAGGCAATTCTCTCTCACTCGGAGCCATGGAAAACAGAAGAGTGTTCCAGCCCAGAGCCAGCCCCTCGTCGTCCTCGTGTGAAGTCCAGCCGGCGTCCGGCACATCCGGCAAACACGTGTGTCTGCTGCATTGAAAACCCTGGATTCTTACATAACGGAAACCCTCAGGGAATGAGAAAATGGCTTGAGGAAACAGATACTTACTGAAAGTTATGATTTGGGCTGTGTGTTGGACCTAAAAAGGAAAAAAAAAAAAGATAGGCTATTAATACTTTATAATTTGGAATAAAACTTTGTTTCCAATCCAGCCGGTGGTAAAGGCGGCCGCAGCCCAGCACGCCCACTTGCGGCGAGCCGGCCTCGGGCCCCGGGCTCAGCGGCGGCCCGAGATTACACGGCAGGGTCGGCGAAAGCCACAAAATACTAAGAGGCGCTCTCTGTGTGTGCAGAAGCATTTAGAGGGATTTTGGAGTTTTGCCGTCTTCCCTCTCTCTCGCAAGATCTAGTTTCTAACCGGGGCCCGAGTGGTCTGGCGGGGCCGGGGCATGGCAAGCACCACCTCACAGCTGAGGTAAGAGAGGAGGCCTCCCTCCCGGTCCTGTGATTTCCTTGCCACCTCTGATGGGCACAAGTGTGTGGAACCATCAATGCGCTCCGCTCTGGGCTCCGCCTCTCAGCTGGGCCCAGGCTTCTGCGGGCAGGAGACGCCCGTGTCCCCGACTTGGTCCGCGCAGCCTTCCCTCTACACCTCGAAGCCCACCTTTGTGTCTGGGGTTATTTTCTGCGCTCCAAGTTTACAGACCATTCCATCTGTGTCTGTTTTCTTTTATGACTAGTAAGTGGCTAACACGTAAGCCAGGGCCTCGTGCACAACGGGAAAGGCCCTGGGGAAACGGTTTTACTGGGTCCCCCTCTGCTGGCTCCTGCGCATTTGGTTTCGACCTGCACCGTCATCTCCCGCTGCGTGGCCATGAGCGTGGCTGGCGGATAACCTTGCGCCTGGGCCGCCCCAACTCACCGAGCCGCACAAACAGGACGCCGGTGGCGGTGATGGTCTTCACGCTGTTGGTGGCCACGCACTGGTAGTAGCCCGTGTCGGTCGTGTCCAGGTCTTGGATTCGCAGCCGAGAACCGTACTCCGTCTTGCGGATGATGACGCGCCGCGGCTCCTGCACGACTGGGGCATCGTTCTTCAGCCACCGCACGGTGGGGGGCGGGTTTCCAGCCACCTTGCAGTGCAGGATGGCCGTCTGGCCCTGCACTACGGTGATGTTGTTCACCGGCTCCAGAAAATTCAGGAAGTAGCCTGCAGGGAGAGAGCGACCACACAAGAGGAAGGCTGAGAGAGGGCTGCAAGGAAAGGCTGCCTGCTCAGGAAGCCTTCCATTTTCCCTCACATAAATACAGCCCATTCCTGCCACTGGCAGTGATTACATTCTAGAATGTTCTGAGAGACACTGCATTAGTGAACACTGAATGGCCATTCCAGGGGAAATACGGCATTAGGTTCCTTGGGGCCTCTGGTCACAGTGTTTTCACCAATCGTGGTGTTAACCTCATTTCATGCGTCTTTCTGTTTAAAGACACCTTGTTAATACGTATTGTTGATTTGCTAACACTGACCCCAAGGCCAACACTGCTGTTACCTCATGCTTTAAAGAAGCTTATCTAATGCGCGGCTTCTCCATGAGGCACATCACAGCCTCCTGGTGCTTAGGAATGCTACACAGCCCTTCAGCACTGTCCCCGGGGGTCAGGGGGGTAAACTGTGAAACCACCAGGGCGCTGGGAGGCTCAGTCCATTGAGCATCCTATTTCGGCTCAGGTCATGATCTCTCAGTTCGTGGGTTCAAGCCCCATATCTGGCTCCGTGCTGACAGCTCAGAGCCTGGAGCCTGCTTTGAATTTTGTGTCTCTCTCTTCTCTGCTCATCCCCTGCTCACACTCTGTCTCTCTCTCTCTCTGAAAAAATGAATAAATATTGAACAAAAACCTAAACAGCAAAATTGCCAAAAAAAGCACAAAAATGAAAAAAAAAGAAAAAAAAGACTATAGAGATCAAGAAAAGGACACGTGTTTACCCCATGAGCTGCAACAATTAGACAGGTGTCACCCTGTTGGGCGTCAGCCAGGAACGTGTGCATCAGGCAACTCTCAATCTTCACCGCCCTGGGCATGCCTCAATACCCCCAGTGCACCAGCAGCACTGACTTTGGGGCTACACGTACACGTTAGGCAGGGGGTGAACTCGAAAATACAGAACCCGAAAATGAGAATCAGCTGTGGTTCTCTTTGCAATCCCTAGATTTAGTCTAACCTCAGCGACTCATGATGTGATTCACGGTCGGAAAGGCCACCCCTCTCCTGGCCACACTGCCTCAAAGCCTCGATGAGGAAAAACTCATCGTTTTTCCTGACACATCCTGAAAAATGAGCTAACCACTGGCCAGGATGGAACAAAGATGTCGCGGCTGAGTGCTGCTAAAGGCTCTGTCCCTCAGCGCCCGGGGCAGGAGCTGGGGACCCAGGCAGGGCCCCACACGGGAGCGACAGCAGGCCTGACAGTGCTGGGATACAGAGCGGGTGAGGCTGGAGAGTGGGGCTCGATCCCTCCTGGGGCGCAACTCTCAGCTGGTGAAGGAGAGGAAGTGAAACAGATGTGTGTGACTTAGTGCGATTATGTATGTATGTGGCGTGTGTGTGTGTGTGTGGTGTGTGGTATGTGGGTGTCATGTGGTGTTTGTATTTGTGGGTATGTGAGGAGTGTGTGTATGTGTTTGTGTGGTGTGTGTGGTATAGTGTGTGGTGTGTGGCATGTGGGTGTGATGCGGCATTTGTATTTGTGGTGTGGTCTGTGTGAAGAGTGTGTGTGTGTGTATGCGTCTACATGCCTGGTGTAGGGTCAGGAACATGGAGATTACTCAAGATAGACACGCTTCCTAAATTCCATTAACTAAGGCTAGACAGACAATCAGTCATGAGATGAACTCACTTCAGATGAAACTAATATAATTGAGCAATCTGAAAATGACCATAAAATATATACATGTTCTGAATCTTTTGGTTCCTACGCTTAAGTAAATGAACTTGAAAGACTGAAAGACGGCATATATCTGTTATCACTGCCTTAACTGGATGGAAAATTACAGGATTTCTAGTGGACCCTTGAGGAACGTTTCACAGGATGGACAATGGCCCCTAGATGTCATGTGGCAGGAGGCAGCAGGGGGTGGGGAGGCTGTGGATTTTAAGATGAAGGGATGGTTCGACTTCACAAGGGACAGTGGGTGCATCGCAGTCTGGAAAGGTGTCAGTAATTAGCATGAATCATCATTAGCTGCATGTCCACCTCCATTCTCTCCCAGCCAACCCTTTCCTCCGTGCACTAAATTAAGCTATAGAAGAGAGTTTTGATGGAGGATACAGAGCCGGGGTGTGAGGGAAACGTCGAACAACCCCCTGAAAAGATGGGCTGAACCAAGTAGGGTGACATTCTGGATGTACACTCATCATTAGCGCAACGGCACGGGCCAGACTAGGGGCGCCCTGGTCCCTGCAGCCCCCACCCTAGACCTTGAGTCTTTGAACACTAAATCCAATGTGGTTTGACAGTCTGAAGCAGTTACTCTGATACAATCTGGACCGCCCTGATTGTGAGAGACACCCCATTTCACGGGGTTCTAGCCAGAGCCCAACTTCATCAGAGGGTTTCACAGAAAGCACTTCCAAGTTGCTTAATATTCAAATGCCTCGCCTAAGTTTGCATGCCACGAATGCACCAGAAGGGCATATAAAATAGTCGAGACTGTACTGTAACACAGCACATGACACATTAAAATCACAGTGCTCTCTCCTGGGCAGGAGCTGAACAGTAATCCCCATCTCCACACTGATGACAGTTTCTCCAAAGCCCTGTGACAAACCATAGCCTCCCAGCAGATACGGGCAGCAGCTTCGTATACAGGTAGAACGGAGGGATCTGTGTTTCCGGGCTGACCAGCAAAACATCTACAAGGAGCAGGTGCGGGGGTCTGGGGGCTGGGACACCGTGGTCACTGCCGGCTCTCATCTCCTCCCTCTAGGGGACTGGCTTGCTCTAGTTCTGACACCCCCTCCCTCCACTTTTAGGACATCAATGTCCTAAAGCCAGCTGGGCTGCGTATCCTGAAAGATACAAAAGGATCTTCTTCAACATGGAAGTATTTATCTAGAAAGGGGGGGAAGCGGGGGAGATGTCAGAGAGGAAAGTTAAGGGGATCGTTTCTTCTGTACAACTGAGGAGACTTGAGGAGAAGCCAGCCAGTAGCTACTGCACAATTACCACGAACAGACCCAGGATCTGCTTCTCCAGAATATCTTTCTTCCATCGACTAGGTACGTGGAAATGGAAATGTGGAAGAAGTCTTCACCATGCCTGTCGACAGCTTCCCCTGCAGTGCTGACTGACAAACGGACAAGTGGCAGACTTAGTCCTTCAGAATTCCCAAATAAGGTTCCTTTCTGAGAAGCCAGGGAAGGGAACATGCACTCCTGCATTTTCTGCCCTGTGCACAGACGCGGAGAACTTGGTGTTACCCCACCCCAAGCAAGATGCTGTGAAACCATGAACTGGAGTGAGAACGAGTCTTTGTTCAGACAGTGCCAGTATTTCCTTGTTAGACGCTTTAGTGCTAATAGCTAACGTGGCCTGAAGAAATACGCGTGTGCTGGTATCAAGCACTTTATGCCATTGGCTTAATCATTCAAGCACTCTTGGCTCTATCTGTTTACGCGAAATGTCCAGATCAGGCAAACCTATAGAAACAGAAAGCAGACTAAGGGTCGCCAGAGGCTGGGGACAGAAATTGCAGAGTGACTCTTAATGGGCGTGGGGTCTCCCTTTGGAGCTAAACATGTTTGGGGCTGGAGCGTGCTGATGGTCGCACAGCATTACAAGTGTAGTCCTGGGTCAGCGAGTGCCCCTGAGGAGGGATGAGGAAGTGAGCCCACTGGACAAACCAGGTAAAAGTCGGGGGTGAGATGGAGCTGATGGAGGCCGCAGGTGCGGGGGAGGGGCCCCTCTGGGGGCGGCCTTCCCTGGGTGCTGGCGGCCACCTTCAGCTTTGTTCAGATCCTGGGGTCAGGCCACCACTGATTTCTTGAGCTTGAGATGCCCAGTTTTTCCAGATCCCCTTCACTCTCCACAGATGGACCCTCACCCCCGAGGCCACACCCTCCTCAGTTTGCAGAAAACAAAGGAGAGCCTGGTGCAGTGGTCTAGTCCACATGCGGAGCTCTTAACAAAGTCTTCCTGACCCTACACCGTCTAAACCAGGGGGAGCTCAGCTCGGTCTTCACGTTGCAGCCACCTGGGAGCTTATATAAAAGACTCACCTGGACCTGGGAGGGGTCTGGGCAGTGGCGTTTGTCAAAAGCTCTAAGTGTGCAGCGGGAAACACCTGCTTTACATTGCGGAGGACAAAGAAAAGCTACAGTTTCAGTGAACCAAGCCCATCCAAGAAGAAACTTAGAACAGACCTTCAGGGACTGTCAGGACTGGAAAGAATGTGCCTGTATGTCCAGCACCAACCCCAGGAGGTTCTAGAGAAAGCCTCCTCTCGCTGGGAATGGGCAGGGCAGCATCTCCACCGACGGCACCCGTGCCTTGACTTAGGTCTCATATCTGCATCTACCGGAAGCTCAGAGAGGCCAAAACCACGGGTAGGTATCACAGTAGCTTCATAAACTCAGGGTGCCCTCCCTAGGGGAGTGCTTAAAACTGAGCCTTTGAAAAGAAATTAAGACGTCATGGTGAACAGCTGATATCCATGGTATCAACGCTTCTGGCATGTTCTCTAACCTGCCCATACTCTTCCTCCACTGGAAGGGGGGGCGCCTTACTCTTTCAAAAACATGCCCGGATGGTCCCTCACCGTGCAGTCAACCAGAACACCCAGTCCTCAGATCTTTGCTGTTTCTCCAAGATCAAGTCTCCGCCAAAAGTTTATGTTCTCAGAGGGTGTTGCCCTAGGTGCCCCATCTAAAACAGCATCTATTCATTTCTAACCCTGCCCCTTGCACCACTGCTCTTGGGCTGTTGCCATAGCAGTTACATAATTGTTAAATTATGATAACTGAAATAAGTTGTAAGTTCTGACATCAAGAACAACAAATGTTACTTTTTGGGGCATGTTTCTCAGTTTCGTGGCTCCTTCTTGTCCAGATTCCATTTAGAATCCTCCTGAGGAGTTTGATTTGAAACCGGGAGTGTGGATGGAGAAAGCGCTGCATTTATAGATGATTTGTCTGAAACCATCCTGTAGAGAA